TAGATGCCTCGTGGACGTCTAGAAAGCGTTAGAAGTAAAATTATTTGTGTTGTGTAATTGTGCCATTCCAGCTAGTGGCGTAGCCATGGTCGCCGGTCGGCCATTTTTGTGTATGAAACGGGATCCGACTAATCTGTAGAAATTCGCATCATAGAGCTGGCAAAAGTTTCGAGCGGAGCATAGAGCACGAATCTGTAGTTATTTAAAATGAATAAAGTGTATGTTTGTAAGTGCAGTAACAGTGCGCGTATTTTTAATGAATTTCTGTTTGATGCTTATTCAGGCCTGCAGCCTATGGACGCCCTCTACTGTTGTTCAACACCCGTGCGTCTAAACAGAAAAATTGCTCCGACTTGTGATTGAAGGATAAAAATAGAATTCGTGACGTTTCGTTTCACCGGCCATAGCCGCGCGTGTATTAGTCTATTCCGCTATTGCCTATAGCCTATTGAGCAGTTCCTCTGTTTAGACGCATGTCACCATACCTTTGAATCCATGCTGAATCGGTGGTAGAGGCCTGCAGGCTCTATAAGCATGTCACCCTTGGTTACCTCCACCCGTATCCACTGATCATTCTTGTCCCGTATGTCGAAATAGCCACTCCCGTCTTGCACATATCGAATCTCGTCGTACTCATGAATGTGCTCCTTGTAGAAAGTCTCCAACTGGAATACGATTACGATTTTATACCATGTAGATCAGATACCGATGTAGTTCAGTAGAATAACCTCTACTGTGTTTGGTAAATAATTGATCCTGCTAAATTTTTACTGTATATTTCATAGTAAAATTACGCATTATATATATATATATATCTATATATACATATGAACAAGAGTGCATAATAGAGATCTCTATTATGCACTCTTGATATGAACCATATATCAACAGGCAGCATGAAATAATTTCAATGTAAAACATAGCTCTCAACCAAACATTACATTGAATCAATGTCGGAGATCGACGCTAAAATGCCAGGAAAAGGATTGGTTTAACATCTACACCTTGAATATTTTTAGCGTTGAGCATACACTGAAAACGTTTACGTTGAAACATTATTGACATTTTAACGTTGAAACAAGTTTGACAATTCTACGTTGATTCAATTTGCAAATCCGATCCTTTTCCACGTCATTTCAACGTCGATCGCCGACGTTGTTTTAAGGTTGTTGCTGTCAGCTGGGAGGGAAAACTTAGGCCCCGTTGTTAAAAACAAAATTAATGCTATCATTAGTCTATAAACATTAACGTTTTCGCGCCGTAGACCGTTGACGAAATTAGTTTAAAGTTTTGGGAAATTTGCTAGATTTTTTATTTTTCGTGACTTTACGTATGTTTCTGTCAACGGTCTAATGACACAAATTCTGTCATTGTAAGACAAAATCAGCCTCAAATTAGTTTCTGACAAACGGGGTAGTTTCCAGAATTCTTATACCAAGAAGAATTGATGATCACAATGTGTCCTCGCGAGCCCTGAACCAAGCTTTTTGTTAGTAGCGCCCTAAAATTAATCCGTGAAAATTTGCGTGGCCGGATGTCTGAAGAAACATAAATTGGAGGTAAAGTAAAAAGACTTTAATAAACTTATAAAACAATGGAAGGCCGCGGTAACTATCAACAAGGCCCATGAAATTAACCCAGAGCCTCAAACTAAATTTGGGTCGCCCCGGGATGCTCCTTACATAAATTGCCCATTCGTCGTTCCGTAAACGATGCCTTTTTCCCTCTCGCACCCCCTGCAGCTTATCCCAAGTCCTCCATTCCCCCTTCGTCCCCGGCATCTGAATCTATAACAAAAGAAAAATGTATTCTCATTGACTTTCGTAATTCCAAATGCTATAGAAGAGCTCAAGGGAAAAAGTTCAAAGTCTAATGGGTTAACTTTCCATAGGCAAAAACTATGCTGATCTTAACTATAACAGCACATCCTAGCCATGACACATGAGTACATAACTCAACCTGCCGATACCTATACTATAGAGATATCTGTTGATATTTAATAAGATTAAATTAGATGTGCTACCCACGAACTGTTTTATAACTTTTTGACGGAGAATGTAGCATGCTTCATGCTTGATAGCCTGAACACGGAACAGAAAACAACACATCTGGTCCCTGGCCACTTTCTACTTACTATATAGTGAGATAGGCCCTAACAAAAGTTTCTAGTTATGTCCAAGGACAGTCCTCTCGGTGTTGGTACCCATTTGGTGTTCTAAAAAGTGTATGGTCGTCGTCCTTCTTAAGAGGTGCCCCAAAGACCCCAAAAAGCCCCGGGACGATTCCTGATATATAAATCTGCAAATGACTCACAAACGAAACCGAGAAAAGGCCCTTTGAGCTAAGCCAAAAATATTGGGCCCAATTAATACATAATCAAAAGTAAACAGTAATAAATTAGCACTGCTGAAGCCCGGCGGCAGTTCAAAATTCTCGTTATGAGAAGCGAATTAAAAGAAGCAATGGCAGCACAATGATTTACTATCGTCACAGCAGGCTCTCCTCTACAAAGCTGTAATGGATTATATACAACGCTAACTAAATAATAGGGTTGTTTTTCACCCCCGATTCGTTAAAGATTCTAGATAATGACGTCACGTATTATTATGAATCAGGGCGAACGAATTTATTTGCAATCATGCGACTGAATACAGTGAATGTGAAGAGCACACAAAGGTTTGCTGAAAGCACATTCTATGTCTAATTACTACATTCAAGAGACAGACGCCGCTCATGGTATTGCCGCAAACGCTTATTTCAACCACGCAATAGATATAAATGTGTTAGACGAACGGACGGGCGGACTGGCGGACGGAATAACGAACGAAAGGACGGAAGGTTGGATGTATGTATGAATAGCTGCATTGGTGAGTGGGTGTGTTAGTGGATGGATGTTTGTATGAATAGATAGATGAATGGATGGATGGATAGATGATGATGGATGGATGGATGGATGATGGATGATGGAAGGATGGATGGATGTAGTGGATGGAATATGGTGGATGGATGGATGGATGGACGGATGATTGGATGGATGGATGTATGGAATGATGATGGACGGATGAATGGAATGGATGGAATGGATCGATGGATGTATGGACTGGACTGCGCATGGATGGTATCGCGATGAACTGGATGGAGCTGGACTGGATGATGGATGGCATGGCATGATGGATCGGATCGGATGGATGGACTGGATGGATGGATGGATAGATGGATTGGAGAAACTATGGATGGATTGATGGAGATAGCGAGAATTGATGGAGTGATGATTGGATGATGAATAATGGATGGATTGGATGATGGATCGCATGATGGATGGATAACACATGGATGGATGGATGGAATGGATCGGGTGGGATGGATGGGATGGATGGATGGATGGATGGATCGGATGGATTGATGGTTGGATACGATGGATGATGGATGGATGGAGGATGGATGATGAGGATGGATGGAGCGCGGATCGAATGGACTGGATGCGATGATGAATGGATGGATGGATGGAGGATGGATGGGATTGGATGAATGAAATGGATTAGATGGATGCATGAATGATGGATGATGGATGGATGGATGACTGGATGGATATGGATGGATGGATGGACCTGGATGGATGGATGGATGGATGGATGGATGGATGAATGGAATGGATGGATGGATGGATGGATCGATGGAATGGCATTGGATGATGGGTGATATGGACTGGCATGAAATGGAATGGATGGATGAGACCTCGCGATGATGGATTGATGGATGACTGGAGGATGAATCGGGGAATGGATCGGATGGATGATGAATGATGAGACTGGATGATGGATGGACTGATGGCATAATGATCGATGGATTGGCCATGACTCGATGGACCTGACCGTGGCATGATTGAAATCGATGGATGGGATGATGCAATGCATCAATGTGAATAATGAAAATGATGACCCCCGCCATATGACCCGACAACATGGATGGTGAGATAAAGATATGAGAATAATCAATGGCAGGACATGCATATGAAAGATGAGAGACTTGGAAATAAAAATGAAGAAAATGAACAAAATTGGCGATGATCATGCTGCGTGGTTGCGCGACTGAATGGGCAGGGATGCCGGGCAGGCATGCGCTGGGATCGGTATGATGGATAAATGACCTGGACATCGTAATTACAATTAATGACCTGGACCCTGCCTAGATAGAACTTGGTTTTCACTAAACCCACTACTCTGCCCGAACAACTAAAACATCCCGGGACATACCCTCATAATTTCAGCACAAATGTATTTTAAACACCGGCCATATCCTCTACTTGAACATTTTAATCCATAATCTTATTAATGAGGCCACAGCTTATGCTCGCCTTGCATAACTGAATGCGGCTAAAGAGTCAAACAAGCCATTTTCGATGGCAAACCTCGTGCTATGAAAAGATTCCCCGTTTATGCTTATTAAAAATAAAAAAGAGAAGAAGGAATCGAAAAGACAGAATACAAAAGAAGAAAGAGGAGAAGAAAGGAAAAAGGAGAGAGAATAGCAAGCCGGAGAAAAGAGAGGAGAGCATGCAAGAGAATAAGAAAGGAGAGAGCAGACGAGAAAGACGCTATAGGTACTTAATGGTAAAAGCTAAAACCTCACACCAGCGCAAATACAAACCGCTCCAAGAACCAAACCTCCTAACCTGGCCTGAGAGATTCGCACCTCGAGTCTGGCCTGTCATTATATATATTCAGAGGACTGGTAAGACGTCGCCGTCCTAAACACTTTCTTTTGTAGCGGGCAAGATCGAAGAACCTCCGATAGTTGAGCATATCCCTGAGTTTTATTGTCATCGCGCCCCAATCAATGTATGCCTAGTTGCAATTAAAGCGACAAAAAGGCCCTCTATACATCTTACCCTTTGCACCTGTGTCGCTGGGATTTGTATCGTCATATCTTTAATACCCCCATCGTAGCGGCGATGTGCGAGAAGCCTTGAGTCAGTTAGCCTGCTAAATCGCATTGTCCCATTTCGCTAATTGCATGAATACGTGAAGACAATCGGTCTAATATCAAGATTCGAAAAATACTTGTTATTAAATAAAATACCCCCATAATTATCTCCAAAATGCTCAAATGCCTCCCAACTTACAAGCCTAAAATCCGCAATCTTTAAATACTTACTTAAAGCTCCAGGGGCGGTCCCATGGTCAGGTCAAGTAAGGCGTCCATTACGCCTTATCTAATTAAATTGGGGGTTAGGTTAGGTTTAGGGTGTACGATTTATGAGTTTCGGATTATATTTAGTGTTAGAATAAACAGTGTGCGATAGTTTTTTTACCTCAAATAAAAGTTTTTACGTTTAAGTCAAATTGTGTTTTTCGCCAAATTAAAAATAAGGATTCCTTCTCAAACTTTTACATGTTAACTTATGCATGTTTATAACGCCCGTGCGCCCTCAGCCAAAGATAAAGGCGGTTGGAGCCCGCAAGCAGGAGTTCAGTTTAAACTGCGTAGTTGCTAAATGGCCGCGGATGGCCCCGGTCCCCAAAACTGGAGGCTAGAACATAATTTTTGAGATTTAAAGGGCATCATCGGCCCAAAAAAGTAGCGAAAAAATTTCGATAAGGGCAAACTGTTGAAATCTAGACCGGCAAATACGGTCTGAAAATGCCCCCGATCGTAGCGACCCGTGCGTAATCCCGAAACGTGTGGAGTGCGCCAGGGGCGAGTATGGAGAGGAACCCCCCCGGCCTATTCGCACACGCACGATGTACCAAATCTCCCAAGTGGTGTTGTGTTTCTTGTGGTGTGGTGTGTGTGTGCTTGTGTGTGTGTGTGTGTGTGTTGTGTGTGTGTTTGTGTGCGTGCGTGCGTTACGTGCGTGAGCGTGTGGCGTGGTGTGCGTGTAGGAGTTGTATATATCATATTATGATAATATATAGTATAATACATATTATTAACTATATTATAATGATGTGTGTGTGTTGTGTGTGTGTGTGTTGTGTTTTTGTTATATAGTACTATAATATTAATTGTGGTGTGTGTGTTGTGTTGTTGTGTGTGGTGTGTGTGGTGTGCTGTGTGATGTGCTGTGTGTGGCGTGTGTGTGCTGTGTGTGTGGTGTGTGTGTGTGTTTGTGTGTGTATATATCATTATATATTGTGGTGCCTGTGTGTGTGTGTGAGTGTTGTGTTTGTGTGTGTGAAGTGTGTGTGTGTGTCGTGTGTGCTGTGTGTGTGTGTGTTGGTGGTGTGTGTGTGTGGTGGTGTGGTGTGTGTGTGTGTGTGTGTGTGTGTGTGTGTGAAGTGATACACAGCGAACTCTGCGCCGTTTACAAGTGTGAGTTGTAATAACCAAGGAGAAAAAGAGGAAGGAGGAGAGGGAGAAGGTAAGGGAGGAGGAAAGGGAGAGAGAGGAGAGAGGGCGTGTGCGAGGGAGAGCAAGAGAAAGCGACTGTGCGTCCTGTGTGTGCGTGCATGTACGTATGTACGTGCGCCATGTGTGTGCGTGCATGCACGTAAGTACGTGCGCCCTGTGTGTGCGTGCATGCACGTATGTACGTGCGCTTTGTGTGTGCGTGCATGCACGCATGTACGTGCGCCCTGTGTGTGCGTGCATGCACGTGTGTACGTGCGCCCTGTGTGTGCGTGCATGCACGTATGCACGTGCGTGTACGGAATATTTTGATGTGTTGCTGTGCAGAATCCTATCTTGCAGTTCAAAATAAATTCATGTGATACGGCGAATGTTGTGTGCTGGTGTACTGGCAGCCAATTAACACCTGTAATTAACACGTATAATTAACACCTGTAAT